AATCAAAATCCATACCAAACATGCCATTAGTCTATATATAGTCTCTTCGTATATAGGTTAAATTATCTTTTTGTATTTAATTGCATTATACAGAATCAATGAAATCCTAGCATTATCTTCTCTTTCTTTATTTCTTTGGATTGTTTAACAGTAATAATATTTAAATACTAAGAAAACTAAATATAACAACCTTGAAAGGTTTTGAACACAATTAAATATATATTATTGTAAAATAAATATTTAAATGGACGTAGCAAAGATTGTCTAAAATTTGAAAGCATGTTCTCAAAACACATATAATCAAATACTAAATAAGTAACGTAATCCTATTTTGCATTATATTTAGAAATTATTTCACAGACAATTTCTTTTTCTAAGTATAGTCATTAATAAACTTGTAAAAGTCAACGATCGTAAAAATATATATGAACCGCATATTACATTATGAGTTATAAAAGTTTTTTATTTTTTAATGCTACCGAAGAATGTAAATAATAAGTTATCAAATACTTTTAAGTTGAAGACAACGCACTTCAAACTTTAAGAAACAACCAAATCCTTTCCAATTTCGTGAAAATAGCTTGTACTAAAGTTTACCTTAATATTAAAGAAAAATATGAATAAGTTTGTATTTCCATGTCAAGGTTCTTTTCGAATTATAATTGTTTTAGTTGTAGAAAAAACATCATAAACAATTCAGCATGAGACTCCAATTGGCTACTCTAGTGTCAAGCCAATGGCGTACACCACCTAACACCCTAGCCGAATACACCATCAACCAAGTCAATTACTTGGACTTCTTTGATATTTCCTTTGTTGACGGATTTAACGTGCCAATGGATTTTAGTCCCACCGGTAGTTGTGCCAGCAGAATTCGTTGCACCGCCGACATCAGTGGCCAGTGTCCAAATGAGTTAAAGGCACCCGACGACTATAACAACACATGCAAGGCATTCAAGACGGACAAATACTATTGCAACTCTGGCAACTTTGGCCCTACAAACTATTCTAAGTTTTTCAAGGAAAGGTGCCCCGATGTATATAGCTACACTAACGACGATGAGACTAGCACGTTTACTTGTCCCCGAGGAACTAATTATCGAGTGGTCTTTTGTCCCGAAGCAACAACATTTTCACCTTAATAAAATTACCATATAAGAATTTGACTTGGCTGCCATCCAGTGCAAATGTTGTATGATTTTTACTTATTTATTTTCTTTTGTGAACTAGGATCTCTCTCTCTCTTCCATAACTTGTAACATCTTTCGTGTATGAAAAAGGAATAATGATTTAGTTATCATCTAATATTTCGTGGTTAATTGGAAAAGACTTTGCATTCAAAACAATCGTCAATTTCTTTAAATCTTTGGTTTGAATATTT